CATGTAGCACGTTACCACATTTATGGTCTTCTGATCCATCCAGAATATCAGATCTGCACCTTTGCGTTGAAAATTAGCAAGTTGCCACCACTAACCCAGCTTCAAACGCGGAAACAAATACCACTCTCTCTGTCTACAGACTGTAAAGTTCAACCCTTTAGCTGTTCTTATGTTTTCTTTATTTTACCTTTTTTTTTTCTCAATTTTTATTCTTTGTCTTTTAAGTAAAAATAAAAATAGTAAAAACATGTTAATCAAAAGTCCAAAATATATAAGCAAACATTCACTTATAAAAGAAATAGAAACTTATTTTTTAAATAAATAATCTCTTATATACATAACCATTACCTCTTTAAATGACAATATATTTAGTATAAATAATGAATATCTTGACAGAGATAAATTTGTATACTATGAATGATAAAAGACAATTTTGTATCCATTAATTTACATACATGTATCGAAAACTTAATTTCTTAATATTTTGAATTAAAGGGGATATATATTTTTTTTATGGTTGATTTGTATTTGTTTGTGAAAACATCTCTTTGTGTTAACGTCTTATAAATGTCCAATAATTTTTAAGTAAGTTTTTTAATAAATCAAAAGTTTTAAACAAATAAATATCATTGAGTTTGAGGAATAAATATACAAACGTGAAAAACACTTAAAAAGATTTGTAGGAATCCAGATATAAATTAAAATCATACATTAAATAATTTATATAAAAAGACTTATATATCTATTATTTTGAAATTTTTAGGTAAAGTATTCTTTCATATAATTAATTTGTACATATTTATAAAATTCTCCTAATATTTAATGTCTTGTATCAAAATTTATTAATGATAAATATGTTGTTATAAAATAAGATAGTGTAAAATTTAGAATGTGTTCTACTAATCTAGAATATATTGTATTAATCTAAAAGGGTTTTATATTTTTACGATGTTTTCAGTATTACTCATCATGTTGAATACGAATATGTATTTTTTTTATATTATATCTATAAATAGACATTTTACCTTCTCCAGAATATACAATTTTTTTATTTTTTTTATTATGACTTTATTTATTTTTTAAAATTTATTTATTAATTTTTCAAAAATTATTAAAAATCCTTATTATATTTTGAAGGACTTACACAGTACATACAATAATCATAGACTTTATAAGAAAAGTTTTGTTCGTCTCTAACTCAATTTTGTTGGCTACAAAAATTAACCACGGCTAAGCACGCGTAGTTCATTCTGGTGACGTTCCTTTTGTTCTCTCTTTTAGAGGCACATGGTCCTCTTCTTTACCCATGAAAGAAAGGAATATAAAATGAAGACAAATTATATGTACCTCTCAATGACCAAATACCAACCTATTCTTCTTATTTACTTTGTTTGGTGGAGGAGAGAGACATAATATCAAAACACGGTTAGAATGAAAATATCCGAAAAATGAAGCAATTTCTAAAGATATTTAATTAAAAAAGAAACAGAGAAAAACATGGTGCTTTTTACTCATACCATACCAATGCCACACCAACTCCTAATAGTCCAATTTTTCTAAAATTTTAAAATATTATATTATTTTAATCAAATATTCAACGTCTTCATAATATAAAAAATAATATATATTCATGATATAAAATAAAGATAGCTTGATGTTCTTTATTCTAATTAAAGCATTGATCACGAGCTATATCTGAGTCACGTCTTTAGGATTATTCAATTCAAAAATGTGGGAAGTGATGAACCACACTTGACTAATTTTGACCTATGCGAGGCTAATGGGTTGGTGAGTTCTTCTAACATCATCAAAATCAATTACTTGTTTACTATCATTTAGCTTCACTTTTGTTGGTTGGTCACCAAACCAACAACCACATAGGATTATGGTTTTCCCACTTCCTTAAATGTGTCAATTAATTAATACTACTTCACTTTATCCCTCGTCTCATCACCCACCTCATCAATATGCATAGCTTTTTGCTTTCACAAAAACCTTTGTTACCATATTCTTTATTTTTAAATTTATCAATTTAACATTTTTTTTTTTCAGAAAGTCGAACCTAAAGTTGACCTTATATATAGAAATTAAAGTTCTATTTAACACATGTAAAACCGATAACTGAAAGCCTAGTCACACACTAGCTCTGCCATCTTTTTTATCCTTCTTGAAAAAGTGATCAAATACCCGAAAGTGTTATACATGCTTTCTTACCCAACTCGATCTATATGTATTAGATATTTTATTTTGAGATTCATTATCATGAAAATTTATAATTTTAGTATTTTGAGAAATATGATGTCAGAAAAATATGTTTTTTTTATATAAAAAATATTTTTTTAGTGAACAAGGTTTTAGAAAATTATATTTTTATCAAGTTTCTCTCGCTTAAAATATTTTCATTGATCATGAAAGGTGAAAACTAACTTACAATAAAAAGTTTACTAAAAACGTAATATCATATATTAAAAAAAAAATTTTAAGGTATAAGATAAACTAAAGCCATTTATCAAATAAAAAAAATATAATCTAATCTATATTTTAAAATGAATCATAAGATCAAATAAAAAAAATATAGTCTAATATATATTTTAAAATAAATCATAATTTTTAATCTTGTTTAATCTTATACTAGATCAAATAAGTTGAAAATTTGATTAAAAAATTTTAAAAATATCATTAACATGTTTATACTAGAAGAATAAATTAAAAAAATTTAAATAAAAATAATATATTTTTTAATTTTAATTATAATAAATATAAATTATAAAAGAATATATTTATTTTATTTTAGGATAAAAAGTAAAAAACTGAATTTTTATTATCATCATTCTTATTTTAATAATTTATTAATATAAAATAATAATTAATCACTTATTAAAAAGTTTTCTAGAATTTATTTTTAAAATAAATAAATTATTTATTAAATTAATTTATAATATATATATATATATTTTAATAAAATATTTTATTAAAATATTTTATTTTATTTTTATTCAAAATAATTATTTTTCTATAAAAAAATAATATAATATATAAACTATCACTTAAATAGATCAACTTATTTTTCTAATCTTTTCATAATAATTCATCCAATTAAATCTATTTTAATTTCATGTTATAAAGAATACTAATAAATTCAACGCATCAAACTTTACAAAACACCAAAATTAAATCACAATAATTACATTTCATATAATAAAAATGAATATTATGATAATTTTGATTAGCCTTGAAACCATCCATATTCCTTCTACTCACTTAAGAAATGTTATTTTTGGCATATAAATGGAATATGATGGTCATATTCCAGAATCTATTAACGCACCACCTTACGAATAACATTCCATAACGTCATTCACCAACACCGACGCTGATTGGTTTAGCATCAAATTTTGTCATTATGCATTTCTTCTCTTTCTTTTCCCTTTCTCTTCTTCAAAGTTCAATCAATTTCATTTGCCTCTTCCAAATTCACTTTTACTAACACACTTATTTCCCATTTCCTACGTTTACCATACTACAAGATTAATTTATCCAAAGAATCAATAATGATGTTAAGGATTAATTAAAATAAAACTGCACCCTTTTTTTTTAAACAGAAAACTAATTTTAATAAATGTAACATTGAAAACTAGATCTACCTTATTGTGCTACCGACACTGACACGGTTATGCTCTAATTGTGCTACCGACACTGACACGTTTTCGGTTAGGGTTAGCGTGTGACCGGCAGTTCCGGTTGTAGAAGAGCACTCGCAAATCGCAGTCTCACCAACCCCTGGATCTGGGCGTCAAATCTAACGGCGACACCGCTGGTTCCGGTGTCCGGTCATGTGGGGCTTTACCCACTGATTACTATAAATATGGAGACAGGGTCCTTGCATTTTCCCACACCACACCAAACAATTCATTTGTTTGAAGTTTGGTTCTGTAGGGTCTCTGATCTTGTTGCAGCGAGCCTTTCTCTTTGTTTCAACTTCTAAACAAAACAACTCGTTACTTCACTCTCGCTTCAGGTTCATCAATTTTCTCTCTCTTTTCTCTCATGTACCTTCTTCTGCTATGAATCGTTTAAATATCTTCCATGTCCGTAAGTAGCATTTAGTGACCAACTTGAACTGCTTGATTTTTCCGAACTAGACCGTTATAGTAATGGATCTGGCTTTTGTTTACACTTTTTCCATAACCTAGTTATCTGCTTCTATTGTTGTTCTTTTAATATACGAAATACTAGTATGTTCTGCAGAGTTTTCTTTTTTAATATATATAGATCTGATGTTTTCACACGAACAATCCATTCTAATTGATTTTCTCTTTCTGGATCTAGTTTCGGTACTCGATCTGATGATGTTCATTTTGAATTTTGGCTTGTTAACTCTCTAGCATTGTGTTTGTTTTCATATGGTTTCAATCAAGGCTTAATTTTGAATTAACACTAATATTTCTGTTATATTTGCTGCTGCGCTTTCATGTTGAAGACAAAAACATGGATGCAATTACCTTATGAGCTTTTGGTGCCGTATACTTATCAAATACGAAGATTCACTTCGAAATTTTGCGTAATGCCAAAAGTTTGCATCAAAGATTAACGTTATAGATTATCGAAGTGAATTTTTCATTCGGATAACACCAAGAGCAAAGAAAAATGCATTTCAATTTTGTTCTTCAAATCCAAGATTCTTTCCAACTTGGTGCGCAAGGAATATTGATATATCCTTTCTTATCGTTTTGTCTGCAATTATTTTGTCAGGACCAAAAGCGCTTTCAAAAAAGATCAAGATAAACTACTATTTTAATCAATCTTGGCATAAACTTTCGAAATTTTCTTTCAATTTTTTTGTAGAGACGCGTGCTTTAATTTATTCCTTTAGCAAAATGGTGCCGTATATCTACTTATCTTCCATTAAAAAGCACCAAGAGATGCTGTTTTGGTTTGAAAGTATCTGCGCTATGTAGTACTAAATATTGTGTTGTTTTCTTTTTGTTGTAGTGTGAGAAATGGCAACTGAAACCTTTCTATTCACATCTGAGTCTGTAAACGAGGGTCACCCCGACAAGCTGTGCGACCAGATCTCTGATGCAGTGCTCGATGCGTGCCTTGCACAGGACCCCGACAGCAAGGTTGCCTGTGAGACATGCACCAAGACCAACATGGTCATGGTCTTTGGGGAGATCACAACCAAGGCAAACGTAGACTACGAGAAGATTGTCCGTGACACATGCCGCAGCATTGGATTCATCTCTGATGATGTTGGTCTTGATGCTGACAAATGCAAGGTGTTGGTCAACATTGAGCAGCAGAGCCCTGATATCGCCCAGGGTGTGCACGGTCACTTCACCAAGCGCCCAGAGGAGGTTGGTGCTGGTGACCAGGGTCACATGTTTGGCTATGCCACTGATGAAACCCCTGAATACATGCCGCTCAGCCATGTCCTTGCAACCAAACTTGGCGCTCGCCTCACCGAGGTTAGGAAGGATGGTACCTGCGCATGGTTGAGGCCAGATGGTAAAACACAAGTCACTGTTGAGTACTACAATGACAATGGTGCCATGGTTCCAGTCCGTGTCCACACTGTCCTAATTTCCACCCAACATGATGAGACAGTGAGCAATGACCAAATTGCTGCTGACCTTAAAGAGCATGTTATCAAGCCTGTCATTCCTGAGAAGTACCTTGATGAGAAGACCATCTTCCACCTTAACCCTTCAGGCCGTTTTGTGATTGGTGGCCCCCATGGTGATGCTGGTCTCACTGGAAGAAAGATCATCATCGATACCTATGGCGGCTGGGGTGCTCATGGAGGTGGTGCCTTTTCTGGCAAGGACCCAACCAAGGTTGACAGAAGTGGTGCCTATATTGTGAGGCAGGCTGCAAAGAGTGTTGTGGCAAATGGCCTTGCCAGAAGGTGTATTGTCCAAGTTTCTTATGCCATTGGTGTCCCAGAGCCCTTGTCAGTCTTTGTTGACACTTATGGAACCGGAAAGATTCCCGACAAGGAGATTCTTCAGATTGTGAAGGAGAATTTCGACTTCAGACCTGGAATGATCACCATTAACCTGGACCTCAAGAGGGGTGGCCACCGGTTCCTGAAGACAGCTGCTTATGGACACTTTGGAAGGGATGACCCAGACTTCACCTGGGAGGTTGTGAAGCCACTCAAGTCAGAGAAGCCTCAGGCCTAAGCCTGTTCGGAAGTTAACCAACCCCCCTCCCTTCACTGGATGTCTTGCTAGGTGTGGATGAATAATTTGCGTGTTTCATTTCTTCTACTACTCCATTCGTAGGTCTAATACCATCTCATCATACCCAAACTGTTCTTCCCCTCTCCCTCCATTTTTACTTACAATTTATTTTTGGTCATGCAATGAAAATTTTATCAGAATTTTTTCCAATATTACAATTTGAAAGGATGAAAAATAATGTATTTTTATCTAAATGCAAGTATATTCTTTAACCAAATTGACAATATGTTTCCTTCTATCCTTTATAAACAAACCGTTCCTGCCCTCATGGATGACTTCAACGCAGGTCACATTGGCTCATATCGAAATTAAAATATTTTTGAATTTACTCTCTGGGATGACAGTGGAACACGCGTCCTCTATTATTGTAATAGTAAAATACATTATTCATGAACATGAACCTAGGATATGGTAAAATCGATGTTTGACCGAACTTTGGCATCTGTGGATTTTTTTTTCATGTCTGAACTTCTATATTTTAATGAATTAGCCCTTATCTAGACTACACAGATGTTTGAATTATAGTCCATTTTATTCTTCAATTATTCTATCGTTTCAAAATCATGTCGTTGATTTATTTTAAGTTATGTTTTCAAAACCATACTGACTAATCAGGCGAAAAAAAAATCAATGATTTGATTATTAATAGATTCAAACAAAACTATTGAATCATCATAAAAAATTGATTGACAAAATCGAAAAACCAATAAAAATCAGTTTACATTATATCAATGAGAAAGTTTAAATACAAAATATTTTATTTTAAAATTCAACCTAATATATTATTCGTTTTTATTTTATTTTACTATGAAATTTTGCCTAAATTTCAACATACAAACTCAACCTAAAATATTACTGTGTTGAAATTTTGATTACAATAATATAATATATTTTTTATTTAAATTTTATAAGTATTTTAAATATTAAGAAAGTATAACATTACGATTTATTAATCTTTAGTACTATACAATTGTGATGTTATCTTTTTCATATTCTTTCATATATTTCCTTAAAAAAACTATTTTATATGTTATTTATTATAATTATTCTATTATTTTTATTAATATTGTTTGGAAATCAATTTAATCAACACATGAAATTAGTGGTTTAACTAGTTGAATAAACAATCTTATTTTAAAATGATTAATGATACTCATGAACAATTTATCAGTGATTGTAAATAGTTATAATTCAACCTTCTAGTTTTAGGGAAATCTCCTCTTTCTAAATATTAAGTGTTATCATATTTAGCAACTGAATAGCTTCTTATGAATTTTATGATTTAGAAGTTAATTAAAGAAATAATGTTTTGAACACCACTGATTGCACATTTTCTATATTTTATTTCAATTAAAATTTATCCTTTTGATGTTGGCTAGAAAAATTATATTTTTCGAGATCTACAGAATTTAATTATATATATATATATATATATATTTTTTTTTTCTGGATGTAATTTATATATACATTCCCTATCATCACTCAGTAATAATATGATACACATGTAGATAAGTTACTTTAAAATAATTACTATTACAATGTAATTAAATGCATGTCATATTAAGTGATAATAGGATTATATTAAACTTTTCTGATTATAAAATTAGCATTTTTAATCCAAAGTCATAACTTAATTTGACCTTATTTCAACTATGAAACATTGATTAGGTTGATTAAGTGTTGGTATAACTATAAATTCTGTTCCCCAATATCAGAATGAAAAGATTTAAAAATCTGAAGCAAATATTTTTTTACTTTGAAAATAAAATTATAATTGATTTTGGAAGATTTGAAGTAATCTAAACACACCATACATTATTTTTTCTTCTTGAAGAGAAAAAAATTGATGAAATACCCGAAACTGGTTGCCTTATAACACCATCCAGATTCCATTAAAATTTGTTAATTTGGCATCAATTTAGAACATGAGGGTCACATTCCACTAAGCCACCACCTTACCAATCAATCAAAACTATTCACCAATCACAACAGTTACTGATTTTTTAGTATAAAATTTTGTCAACAATGGCCATTTTATTTCCCTTTCTCTTCTTAAAACGTCAATCAAATAAATAATGTTCTTATTTCCCATTTCCGCATGATTCAACAATATATTAACCATTTAGTACCACAAAATGAATTATTCAAAAATGAATGAAATTAAATCACATTCTATAATTGTTTTTCCCAAATATATCTTTTTATGCTTACAAATATTATAATTAGAAAGATTTATTTTAAGTGAATTTTAAAATATTTCATTTATTTATTTATTTTATCGCATACAAGTAAATGATGAAAGAGTGTAAAATGAGAGGTGGGTTATCTTGCTCTGGGCTCGGATGCAGACAGACCCATTTACTTTTCTTGAGTTGTTTAGAATTTGAGTTGGTTTATTATGTTGCAGATTGAAGTTAAAAAAACAAAAAATATGTTATTCACATTAACAAGTTTGAACACTTTGTATTCATTATATTGTTCTAACCACTCAAATTTGTGCATATTATTCTTTTAATTTTTGTGCTTCCTGTTTCCACATGTTATTTCTTCTAAATTTTATATAAAGAAATATTTATGTTAGTTTTTCTTATTGTATAATTCAACCTCTGTTAAAGATCTGAGTATTCTTCAACTATATTGTGATAGTTAGTTTAACTGTTGGTATTAGGGTTATTTTTTATAGTTAAAATTACCAGTAATTTCATTGAAAGATTGAATTTGAATTTGGAACATCTAAACAAAATTTATTACACCTAATGCAATTTTTAATAACTTTTAATAATGATTTTTTAACAGCTTCTAATGGATAAGAAACATAAAAAAAATAAAAAATAAAACATTTTCAATACTAAAAAAATAAAAATATTTGAAAAAAATGTGAAAGTTTGAAAGTCAATGTATCTTATTGATTATAAAGACTAGCTCATTTACTTGATAAGTCATCATCGATTTATTTACGTGGCTGGGAGTGAAACTAATACAGTGACCGTTAATTATATACCTTTTGACTAATCAATCACTATTACTGCCAAAAAAGTACGTTTCATTTGACATATAAAATGTATTTATAATCAAACACACAATATATTTTAATGAAACCAGTTAGTTTAAAAAAACAAAAACAAAAATTGATGAGAAATAATTACAATGAAGAAAAGAAAAGGAAAATAGGGCTGAGAGTGAAATTTTGTGTGTGTACGTGTAAAGAGGGATAGTTGGATGTTGGTGTGTGTAATGTGATGATAAATAGCACTACATTCTTATTCTTACCCAATAATAATGATTTCAATTCCAATCTAGTCAAAAACTAGGACAGCTTTATCCTACGCCCTCCTCCTGCTTATCCTGCGCATATTTACCCGCTTTTTCGCCGAGATCTTCTACTTCCTCCCCTGTGCTCTTATTTTGTCAACTACACAAATATTCCTATTGGATTCCAGGTACTCTTCGATCTATTGTGCGCTCTTCATGGTCTCTCTCTCTCTCTCTTTTTTTTTTTTTTTTTTTAATTTTCACTGTTTATTTTTATTTTTTGAGTGTTTTTTTAGTAAATAGGCATTTTCTTCTAAAACTTGAGATGGACATGTGATAATTAGTTTTGTTTAAGACTGATCCGAAACTGTTGCCTTCGATGTCAGTGGTAGTTTTACTCCGGTTGACAGAAAATTCGAATTATTTGCCGATTGAAAGTTTGTGTATGTGTGACCGATACACTGATTTCTGTTGTATAATTTACATGCATGAATCGTATGAATGAAATGGAGGTTCAATTATCAGTTCAAGACCAAACTGTGGTGAGTTAATAATATTAATCAATGCAATTGGACAAAAAAAAACATAATTCACTATTGCTTTCATTCTTTGTTTCTTTTGAATTGTTTAATGTTGCAAATGTTGTCATGGTCTATTTTCTCGTTAGCAAAGAAAATCTACATGGAATTAGTATTGTTTTCTTTTGATTTTGAATTTAGGATTTATATTCAAGCTAGATATGTTAGCCACTAGCTATTGTGGACTGACGGAGTTGTGAATTATCAGCAGAAAGAATCATGAGTTGCTTCAGCTGTTGTGAAGAAGATGACTACCAGAAGCATGCTGAAAGTGGAGGACAGCATCTTGTAAAAAACTCAACAGGTAATTGGGTTCATATTAGCTTGAGGACCGCCTAGGGATGATAAACAGTAATCATAACTTAATGCAACAAAAGAGTCCGGGACAATGATGCATCATCAATTGACATTTTCATCTGAATTGGATTTAATTGTTAGTATGTGATTTAGTTGTCTAGAGGTAGTTTTGTGATACTTCGTTGTGTTAATTTGTTTGATGTTACTGTAATTACTGTGATGCATTGTGTTATGCAGGAAATGATGGAAATGGTCGCGCATCTGAAATTGCAAAGCAGGGCATGCAAGCTGTTAAAATTCAGCCCATTGAAGTTCCTGAATTACCGGTGGATGAACTCAAAGAAATCACTGATGGCTTTGGAGAAAATTCTTTGATTGGAGAGGGATCCTATGGCAGAGTGTATTATGGTGTTCTGAAAAGTGAGCAGGCTGCAGCAATCAAGAAATTAGATGCCAGTAAACAGCCTGATGACGAGTTTTTGGCCCAGGTTTGTGTCAAACAAGGCTTACTATCCAATTATTGAGTTTGTTGATGATATCCAATAAATAATAAATCACTTGGTCTTGGTACTTTCAGGTTTCAATGGTTTCACGTCTGAAGCATGACAATTTTGTTCAATTGCTTGGTTATTGCATTGATGGAAACTCCCGAATTCTTGCTTATGAGTTTGCTTCAAATGGATCTCTTCATGATATTTTACACGGTATCTAGTTTTTGCTTCAGGAACCTATTGACGCTTACGAACATTTGTTGATTTTCCACCTGTTTTAGAGGATTTCAGAATATTTTGGATTTTGATGTTAGTTTTACTTTTTGGTGCCCTGACAAGCAATGGTACCCACATGAAGGATATATTTCTTTTATTCCTTCTTTTATTATATTTTGTCATATTCTTATCATTGTCATTTACATGCAGGCAGAAAAGGAGTTAAAGGAGCACAGCCTGGTCCTGTTCTAACATGGACACAGAGAGTTAAAATTGCTGTAGGGGCTGCCAAAGGACTTGAGTACTTGCATGAGAGGGCTGATCCCCACATTATCCATCGGGACATCAAGTCAAGCAATGTACTCATCTTTGACGATGATGTTGCCAAAATTGCAGATTTTGATTTGTCAAATCAGGCTCCTGACATGGCAGCACGTCTCCATTCCACCCGTGTCCTCGGAACCTTTGGGTATCATGCACCAGAGTAAGATGTGCAAATCAGATTTTCAAGATATATTGCTTTATTTTTTAACTATTGGTTAACTTATAATAGACTGCTTGGTAACTTTTAAGCATAATAGTAGAAGGAGATTTATTGAAATAGTCATAGAATGGTTTCCCTCTTCCCTAGTTGACTAGAAGACATTGCCTATTCTAATACAATTTTTAGAGTGTTTCTCTATGTATTATAGTTAGTGTCCTGACCAATACCTTGATTATCATCCAACAATCTGTCTAATCTCATGGATGCAGATATGCAATGACTGGTCAATTGAATGCTAAGAGTGATGTATACAGCTTTGGTGTTGTTCTTTTGGAACTTTTGACAGGAAGGAAGCCTGTTGATCATACACTACCACGTGGGCAGCAGAGCCTGGTTACTTGGGTAACTGCAAACCTCATTACTTAGATATAATTTCCTGTTACCATAAAACGAGAAAATTTAAAATGTTGGTCAGCTAGATGATCCCACTAACTGATGTGTTTCAGGCTACACCGAGACTCAGTGAGGATAAAGTCAGACAGTGTGTAGATGCAAGACTAGGAGGAGATTACCCACCCAAAGCTGTTGCTAAGGTATTCACTGTATTTTTAATGTATTTTTCTTCCTTTATTTTTCTGTTATTATGCTATTTGCATTGCTGAGGTGTTGTTGTGTGTGGACTGGTTTGGAGTGGATGCCTATGAATTAACCAAACTAATCAAAAGTACCTTAGATAAAGTTACCTGTAGAAATTTGAATCTAAAACTTTGTTATAAGTATCATTCTCTATGGAAGAATTTTTATTGAAGAATTTAATTAGTTGAACAATATAAGACAATGAGTTTCTCTACAGCTTTGTTCTCAGTTTTTGCACTTGAGAGAGTCAGGATCTAGTATCATAACATGAGAGCAGAAAAATTCTTGCATATTAAAATAGTATACACTTTTTAGTTGGACTGACTTAGGAAACCACAGGCACCCAGGAAAACTGCCCTTAGAAAATTTGTCTAATTAGTTAACTAAGACAAATAATATCGGATAACAGCAAGATACTTTCTCAATTACAGATGGCTGCAGTTGCTGCCCTGTGCGTGCAATATGAAGCTGATTTCAGACCAAACATGAGCATTGTAGTCAAAGCTCTTCAACCTTTATTGAACACAAGACATGGGCCTGCTGGTGAAACTCCAAACTAATCTCTGTCTATATTTCTGTCTATTTGTATGAATGAGTATGTGCATTAGTGTGCACGAGAGATGTAAGAAAGTGACTGCCTCAGAAGCGGATGAAAAATTTCTTGAACATGTTTATATATCCCATTGTTTATGCAGCATTCATTTTGTTCATAATCCATAGGTACTGAGATTCACTCGCAGGGATTGTTGCCATCTTACTTGAAATTTTGAAAAATTGTGGGTCCTTAAACAAACAAATTTAGAAATACTTATCTAATATTAATAACTGCACTGAATTCTACTTTTATGTATTCATTTGGGTCTACCTAATGGATTTGGATAACTTGCATTATATCTTAGGCTCAAACTTCTTTGTTATTATTGTAAATAAAGAAAAATCTACTTCGTAAATTGAAAATAATTGGTAGTGCTTATAGCTAAGGTTTCTATGATCATATTTCTTCCAGATTCAAAACCACAAGTTAACTACTTTGTTTAACTGCCCATTTGATTTATTCTCTCGGTCAAACTATCTTTATCTTTTAGTTGTATAAATACATTTAGAGAGAATGATCCATTCCCGATTAGATTAAAAAAATGAGGGTGAAAAATTTGCACTCTTACTCTTTTTAGAGTAAGGCTATCCAATATAATATATGAATTTTCCTATACTATTACTCCAATAGCAGTTTAAAAGTCTACATACTTCCATTGAGGTTTTGGTATTAAACATTATCCAAACAATGCAACTATGACATAATATTTATCACAGTTGAGATCAACTTTAGTAATGAGATCAATAATATATTTAACACAGTTAAGAACTTTGAGATTCTGGAGTTTGTTCTTGAGTCTGAGCAAAACTTGAATGCTCACCCACATGTTGAAAAAAAAAAAAAAAAAAACTTAAGTCATAGGGTAGTTTTCTTCTTTACCGGAATGTTTTTTTGTGAATCACCTAAAAATGAGTATCATCCAATTTTTAACCTCAATCTGTACGTAAGTGTTTACTATAACAATGATTAAACCTTTGAAATTATCATTATTTCTGTCGAGTATTTATTATATTGTTTTGTTTCTTAATTTCAGTCTCTACAGTCTTATAGTGATACACTTTTTTTTAAAGGTGATACATTCTGTTTTTATTTTTCTAATTTCAAGTTGCAGCTATAATTTGCTAGTTAAAATATAATTTGACTTATATTTAACCAACCTAAATTAAACTCAATCCTATCCAAATTAACTCTAATGTATCGGACACCTAAAATCTTCCACATTTTCGTAACCTCGTATAAATAAATAAAATTGATATAAGGAAATTATTGAATTAAAGAAAATTCATATTAAGTTTCTTATCTATATTATTATATAAAATATTATATTTAATTATGAAGATTAAAACATAACAAATGAAAGTATATATCTATGTGAAACAGATGTATGCGTGTGGATCAAAACAATATAGTAATTTGACAATTTTTGAATACAAAAAATAAAGTTATGTTGGTAAATTGACTAAGAGTAATTGCTACTAAATTTGTTTATTTGGACAATTCTTTTACTGATGTTCAATCTAATGTATTTAAGCATTGAATTGCTCCAAAAAAACTTTGTTTTTTTTTTTTAAATCAAGTTTATAAAATCTTTTAGAATTTAAATGTTAATTCATACTTCATTAATTAACTTTATATTAACATATAAACTACAAGAAAATCTTAACTACAACATTACATATATTGTAAAAAAAACTATTGTATACAACTATTTGTTTTATTTGAAATTTTAACATGTATAATTTGTCAATATTCATACAATTCAAGGTTGAAATCGTTAAAATTATATTCCATAAGAAAACAAACAAAAGCATGAGTCCAATACTTACATAAGATTATCTTTATTTTGGAGGGTGAAAAGAATTTTTCATCTTAGTTAGGGCAGTGGTTAAAAATTGTGATTATGTATAATAAAATAATTAAAAAAATGTATTGTTATGTGAAGGTATTTATTTATTTTTATATATTTTTGTGACCTCATTAAACCGACGATATGTTTAAAATAGTAATGAAATTAGTTTTAAATTGGTGGAAAATGATTTTGATTTAAAAAAAAGTAATTGAAGTTAACTTTTTTAAAACTGAAGAATAAAAAAAACTAATAATTTAGCCAAATTTATAAATCTATCAGCATCCATTTCATTGACGAAAATGATACAAGTAGTCCACAGAAAATAACAAAACCAAACAAAAAAAACAAACAATGTTTCACTATCAGAAACAGATAAATGGATGGTAAGTATTGAATTTTTTTAAACTTTAAAAGCCCAGATTAATGTCGGATATAAATAAATGTGTTTGAAATATCTTTAATGCACTAGACGTGAACAAAAAAAAGATGGAATATCTCAGTCACATGCACAAGCAAATCTGTGTGATGTAGCATTAAAAAAACTGCAGCAGGTGAACCCTCTTCAACCACAATTTGGGATCAGAACCTTTGTTTTTCAACTGTACAAAGAATCTCAAACACAAAAAACTTGTACAATATTAGAATACAAATTCTAAAGAGTGAAATTCAATTGGACATTTTTTTATTTTTTAGAAATATATTTTACAAACTATTTCGTAATTAGTAATTTTTCTCTCAATTCGTTGTAAATATTTTTCCTCTTAAAAAGATTGTACCCCTTGATATTTTGAATTGACCTAAATGTGTTTTTAATTCTGGTAAAATCAGTAAGTTTTTTCAGTCATCATACAATTCAGTGATTTTTTTTTTCACAACATTTTATTTTCTTTAAAAAATTTAAATAATTGTTTTTAATTTCTATTATTATTATTATTATTATTATTATTTAAGTATTTCGTGAAAGTGATCATCCTAAATAACACATACTAAAGTTTAGAAATCATGTTAAAATGTAAGTTTTTTAATTATGTTCCTAATTTTTTAAAATAAATATTGTTTATATATTTTTAGATAAAAATAAATTAATATTCTTTCTTTACGTAATATTATACTATTATGACCTAATATGTTACATAACTTTTAGAAGAAAAAAAGTTACTTAAAAAAAAAAGATTTTAAATTTTGCCGGAATAAATGAAAAAAAAGAAGACCTACAGTAACTAAAATAAATTAAATAGCAGTCCATGCCATTGAAAAATCATGTATACCTTTAATCGAAATGTTTCCCCTATGAAGTGAAGGACAAAATCTCGGATTTAGCGGTTGTAGCTCTCCCTGTGGTACAATTTTGGTCGCGTTGCTCTGATTCTGATTTTATGTGTTCAATCTCTGCACTCCCCATTCTACTTTTCAGATCACCATAGTCGGTAAAATCTCTCTCCTCTCTCACTCTTTCTCCTTCTTTCTCTTTCCTATATTAATGTTTCCTTTTTTCGATTTTCGTTCGATTTCATCTCGTCTATCCCAACTATGAATCTCACTGAATTTTGCATTCTCGCAGTTCTATTCCTAATTTCTTTGTAATGACATTGTTTATGTCGTCTGAATTCAGTTTCACACGTTGAATCGAAACTGTGTCGGAAGATTCTTAACCTTCTACGCACATAACGAATCAAACAGTGCCCTCGTACTGGTTCTTCGATGTTAGGTCATGTGAATGTTGGTCTGTGCAACACTAGGATGCTTTTATCTGAAACAAATATTAGTTCCAAATATATTTTAATCCAGGAATCAATGTCGAGTGTGCTTTTCCTGATTTGAGTGGAGCATTTTAGTTTCTGTTTTCCCACCTTTTTATCCTTTGATTGCTTGTGCATTTTTAACTAAGGAATTGTGCATATTGATATTTAGCTGCTTGTAAGTAATTTTCATTTCCTTCTATTTCGTATTTAATATTTGTTATGAGTTTGAAAGGGAAAGTTCTAATTGAGATCTGTGTTGGTTATTGGCGGGAACACTTGTTAGTCGTTTCAACTGTGCATGATGACAATGAGAGGAAAATGTAATATTTTCATGGTTTCCTTTCTTTCTCATGTTTTGTCCATTATTTTTATTCCATTCCGAGTATACTAACCCGGGTCTCTGAAGAGCAATGACTGTAATGAAGTTAACTGTAGAACAATATCTTAAACTGTGATAACTGGGTTTCTTATGTCTAAAGATTTTTTAAATTCTGGATTGCATCGAGTTTTGCAGGTTAGATATGGCAGGCACTATGGCAATAATGACCAAACAGCATCTGCTGACCTACATCTACCTTCTAGTTTACATTTCACTTTCATCAGGGGTTATTCTGTACAACAAGGCAAGGCACAGATACGCAACAAATTCATTCGTTCATGTCTTGTGATTGACCTTGTATTATATTATATTTTTCTCAATCTCTTTCTTCTGGTGGGCATTGGTTTATTGCAGTGGCTCCTCTCTACATTATATTTTAATTTTCCATTTCCAATAACACTCACTATGATCCATATGGCTTTTTCTGGTGGTGTGGCCTTTTTGCTTGTCCGTGTTTTGAAGGTACATGTTTGTTGGTTTTTTTTTTTTTATGCACTTCTGTAATCTCGTTTTATCATTCTGTTCACTTCTTACTGTTATTCTCTTATTAATATAGATTTTTTTTTTTTTTGAAAATACTACTTAACTAACCAGATGGTGTCTTTTCCCATTTTCAATTGACGCAGGTTGTGTCACCAATTAAAATGACCTTCTATATGTAAGAATTCTACATAGACATCCTGTTTCACATTGCATTTGATTTTTCTCGCCTCACCCGAAGTGTCTGATTTGCAGATATGCAACTTGTGTGGTCCCAATAAGTGCCTTCTTTGCAGCCAGTCTGTGGTAAGTAGCTGATGTGATTGACCTCAATTTGTAATTCACTAAATTGTGATGCCTATGTTCCTATTTAAATAGTCGTCTATATTGAACTCTACAATTGTAAGATTAAGTTGATGTCAGATCTAAGTTTCCCTGTCATTTTAGTAAAGTTGATGTTCAACTGTTTCTGTCTTGGTTCTTCTCTCTCAAATGTCTGACGAGGGTTAGGGTGATCATCGGTATGCACCAATACCCTTATTGTGATTTATAAACACCATTTGGATTCATGAAGGCCTTTTTGTGCATTCACGCTTGCTTGTGTGGGGCTATGAAGTATTGTGGCTAAAGATGATAATTATGAATTTTTATTTGTAGATATGCAAATATTTAACCAACCTTTTATCAGAGTTTTTATAATGTATTTGTTATTTATTCTGTTTGTTACCTTCTGTCCTGTTAGAAATCTGCTAATAAAACAAATGATTTCATTACACATTTTGGATCAAGCCAAATAGTCCAGCACAAATACTATCATAAATTTCTATTTGGTGATATGAAAACTAGATTTAACTCGTATGATATGTTATTCATTATATAGACAACTTGAAAACCTTGGGCATTTAGTAGGAAATTAGCTGACACAACTAATGATCGCATAAGCTTTTCTGAGGTTAACAAATTATTTTATAATAGCTTATTTTATATTATTTAGATTGTATTTAATGCATTGAGTGGATTTTATTCTGGTATCATTGTTTATTTATAAAAAATCAAATAGAAATAGTGATTATGTATCACGTAGCCTTTAAATAATTAAAGTTTCATTAGTTACTTTAAAAACTAGCAAAAGGCCTCTCATAGTCTTGTTGCATTACTGTTGCACATATTCACTAAATTACTCTATTATCTATTTAGGTTTGGTAATACTGCTTATTTGTACATTTCTGTGGCCTTCATCCAGATGCTTAAAGCCCTGAGTAAGTTGATTTTGTGTATCATCTTTCCATCTGACATTTTAAAAAAATAAATAGAATTCCTTAATGAATGATTGTTCCATATGTTTTTCTTTTTACTATTTCTTTTAATTTACACTTTACAGTGCCAGTGGCAACATTTCTTGTGGCTGTAACTTGTGGAACTGAGAAATTACGGTGTGATGTATTCTGGAACATGGTGCTGGTCAGTGTTGGAGTTGTCATTTCCTCTTATGGTGAAATTCAATTTAATGTGCTCGGTACAGTTTATCAGGTTACAGGAATAATTGCCGAAGCTTTGAGGCTGGTATTAACTCAAGTTCTTCTTCAAAAAAAGGGCTTGACACTAAACCCTATTACCAGCTTGTATTACATAGCACCCTGCAGGTAGATCTGTTCTTAAGTATTTGAAAGCCCATATATAGTTCTGCTTATGCTGATAGGAGGAAAGAAAGGAAATGAAACCTCTTTTCATCTAAATGGGATGCTGATGTTGATTTTGACCTGTATGTATGTTTAGAATGCCACTGAATATTGTAGGATTTGCATCCCTCGCTACATATTTTGACATTTTGTTATTGTTAATATTAGCTTATTGTGTTGAGGAAAGCTTATAGTCAAAATGGCATATATTCACATCGGTCATACCCTGAGAATTTTCTGTCTGCCTATTTTTCACCATCTATATTATTCTCTGGGTGAAGGAATGCACTTGGTATAAGATAAAGGATCACTATAAAGTGATTTAGGAACTAGCAAATCATGATGATTTGTTTTGATATCTTCTGATTTATGTTCTTGTAATGTATTTAATAAAGTTATTTTTATCAATATGTCTTTTTTTGGGTATCTTTGATTAATTTGGTGCTTATTCTTATGAATCAAATGAAGGCCTGTAATTTGATATTGTGCTTCACCTGTAAATGATGTGTTGCTTCCTTCTTGGGTTCTGTGTTTATGCTGCACTGATGCGCCGCCAGCCTAAATCCTTAAAAGGCCAAAGTATAGATAAACCCGTATTTCACCAAGGATTTTTATGGACCGCAGTAAAATTGCTTGATGTGTACAATATTGTTAATGTTTCGCCTAAACAACCAGCTCCCAATCCCACTAGCCAGTGTTGCCCTACTTATCCAGGAATGCTCTGAAGGAATGACAATAAGAGATATTTTGCATCTCAATTTTTCCTTTCTCTTATTGCTTCGTAGGGTAACCCTAGACATAGGTACAACTGCCAGTTCTCTCTAACACTCACTTTGACTCATGAAGGAATGGGGCTTTGGTTGGTATATTTTTGGTATATCTGTGTATTGAAAATGTCTCATCAAAGTTCAAATTCATACTTTTGTTTTATCTGCTTGAATGGTGACCATTTGCACTTTACTGTTTCGCAGCTTTGTATTTCTTTTTATCCCATGGTACATCCTCGAGAAGCCTGAGATGGAAGATCCACATATGCAGTTTAACTTCTGGATATTTTTCTCAAATGCTGTTTGTGCTTTCGCATTGAATCTTTCCACATTCCTAGTGATTGGTAGAACTGGGGCAGTAACTATTCGGGTGGCTGGTGTTTTGAAAGACTGGTTACTTATCACTCTTTCAACTGTCTTATTTCCTGAATCAATGATTACCGGTCTTAATATTATCGGCTACGCTATTGGTATATGCTCCTTTGCTGAAAATACATTGTAGCAGTTTAATTTCATTCATTGCATGGATTTATTTTAAGTGTCTCTTACTATGAATATTTCTAAATGGGCAGCTTTAATTGGTGTCGTTATTTACAACTACATTAAGGTCCGAGATGTTGGCGCATCTCAACATCAAACTATCCAAGATGAATCAGCAAAGGTGAGCCTTTTAAGTAACTTCTCTTTTTTTGTAGTTTGATCAGTTTTAATGCTTTATTGGCTGTTGGCCTATGTTCGTTGGTTAGATGCGTTGAATGGTGACTCCATTTTGAATATTCATGTAAAATTTTATTGAATACTCCCTCTGTTCCATTTTGATTGTTATCCTAGTTTTTTTTTACACAGACCAAGAAAACTCAATAAATAGATGATAGAGAAAATTATTTTTACTAAATTAACCATACTACAATTATTTTATTTTTCAAATTGTATTACCTTGTTTCGCATTAGTACTTAGCCATGGAAGAGAATTTTGAGTATACATGGAAAAAAAATTAATTAATACTCCATTGCAAAGCTTAAATGGCAATCATGTTGAGAATTTTTTTTCCTAACATGACAATCAAAATGGATGGAGGGAGTATAAGAAACAAATTACCGATTAATCAAGATTGCTAAAAATAAAATAGTTAATTTTAATTAATAATTTGAGGAGTTTAAATTTTATTCCAAAAATAGTGATAGAACCAAATAGTGTAAATAGTGGTAATATTTAATGACACTTCGCATAAATCATAGGATAAAGTATGACTTATATTGTTATTAGCGCAACAGATGCATCTATTATATGGAGAATTAGTGGACATTTCATTAATAAAGTTAACAATAAATTAAGAGTATAAAAGAAAGTTAGCAATTATATATATTTAAAATTGGGTTACTCAAACCAATATCAATCCCTTTCTCATATAGAGACTAGAGTAATAATTATGTAACAACGTAAGTTATAAAACATATAAATTTTTTTTGCAACTCAGTTATTATTAATAGTATCATAGAAAAGTATATGCAGTATTTTTTTTTCCAAAACATTGTTTACATGTTTTTATTTTTCTGAAAAGTAAAGCAGTTTTCTTCCTTTTTTTAACATTAATTTGTTAATAAGCTATAAAAAAGCTGAATTTAGACATTATGCATTACACATTAGATCTATTTGAGTAAGTTTCTCCATAAACACTTTTAGAAAAAGAAAATAATAAGAAAATTATGAAATAAACTTCTCAATGCTTTCTGTGTTGATTATTTCTTCCAAAACAGCTTAGACTGAGACCAATTGTTGATCTGTTCTCATTTTCTCCTTCTCTTTTCCGTCGTCACATATTTAAGTTTTGTTTAATGGCTCATCGCTTAAGTTCGATTTCAGCTGAATTTGTTGCACTTTTGCTGTTAATGTTAATTTTTGCACCTTTGATTTACTAGCTCTTCGTTCAAGTATGATTTCAACTTTTCTTCTTTGCTTTCTCCAATAAATATAGGAGCTGCAGACACAGAAAAATGCAGATGATGACATAGACAACAGAGAGGAGTCTCTATGGAATGATTCAGTTTCTGATACTCATTTAGATGAAGAAGCACCTTTAATGGCTTCGGCACGGATGTCTCATCTTGGATTTGGACGAAAACCAGCTTAGCGGCAATCTAGCTCAAGATAGATGCTGTAAAGAATTATATTGGAAGTCAGCTTAGCAGAAACCTAGCTTTTAGAGACAGAGCTTAGATGAACCAAATCAAAGTATGTCTTAAACTTTCTTCCCGAAAAGAACGAAGACGCCTCTTTCCAAAAGGAGAGGGGAAAAACAAAAAGCAGAAAGAAAACAGAGCTGAGGAAACATACATATTCTTTTGGCAGAGCAGATTAGTTTCATGTTTAAAATATATCCAGTAGTAAATTGATTCATTCTTGTATAGGGCTTGGCCTGACCATGCGGTGGAGGTTCCGTTTCTTCCACATTACCTCTTTTAACTGATTGATGATTCTTGAACTACCACTTGCTACTGCTAATTTTAGTTGAAATTTGAAAATGATATGGTTCATCAACTGCTATGCCTCCTCATTTTCTCCATGACCTGCCTGCATGGTAATTAAAATGTAGCACAAAAAGTATTCCCCTTGCTGCGTTTTTCTTTCACTGAGAGAAATCTTCTCTGAGCTATTTTATCATGCCCTTGGTCACAGTTCACTTCCACACTATCATTACTGTTGGATATTCATATTAGGATGTTTCGTATCATTAAGAATGAAAACATCTAAAACCTAAAATTGACTTTACATGTAATTTGTCTTGCATTTGAGTAGTTTGATATTATCTGACCATCCACCATTTCCACCATTTGTCTGTACAAATTGAGTTACGTGCTATGAAATATGAGAGTCCTAACAGGTTGAGACTCAGTTCAAATCAATTATTTTAATTATTATTATCAATTTCTGTGTGATATAACAAGAATCTCCAGGTGTCAGTTCCTGATAAACCTATTTTCCTTTTTAAATTCTAAAAGCATATTTTAATTATTATGAAAGAATTATTATTATTATTATTATTAACACATAAAATTTATATTATCAATAGTAATTTATATTGATTAAACAATAAACACAATATTAATAATTCTAAGATGTTTTATTATTACTTACATTATTCAGAGCTATTGTAAAATAAATTCCCAAGTAAAATACGAACGTTTTCAATTTCTAAACGGTTTTTTAATATTTTTTAGTTTCTTCTTGTAGCCAAATAATTTTTAAAAAAAGATAATATTTTTGTTGTGAAATTTATAGAACTAGTAACCCTGAAATTTTTGTCTGAAGTTTTAGGATAGATGGATTAAAAACACTTTGTTCGATTAATTTATAAATATATAATTTGTTATGTTTTGAATTAAAAAATTCTGAACATAATTTTAAAATATTGGATCGGTGAATTCGAACAAAAATTGTCATTAAATTTGAAGGAGCAGGTAGGGTTTACTTCCTTAAATTATTTATAATTCATTTTGCCAATTATCAATTATCATCAGCAATCAACCAACTTTCTGGCTTTTTTTTTTTTCATATCTCAACTCCGATGGTTTCCTAGTTGTAAAATATACATGTTTTTTAAATAACATTGCATGAAAAGGTGAAAGTTTTTCGTTTCCAAATCTACGAAAGACAAAGTATCAAATTCACGACAAAATCATTTGGGGTGGTTCAAATGTCACGACAGGTTTATGGGTGGATAGAGAGTTTAAGGTAGATGAAAAAGTTACACGCGAACATGAATGTTTCTAATTGTTTAATTAATTTATATAGATATTCTGAATTTTTAAATCTATAACTTGTAAAAAAAGAATCCAGATCCAACCATGTGAAAAGTTCTCCTATCTAAATCTGGAAAATTCCTGCATCTATAAATCGCAATGTTCCCAAAAAATAAAAAGACATGCTCATTTACAAAGTTAAGGAGGTGCAGTATGCAGAAAGAAAGAACCATTTTCATGTATTCATGATTTCATACAACCCAACCAAACCGAAACCCAATAACCGTAGATCGAAAAATGTAAAATGGGCTTGGCCCGTATCAGAGGGAACTTTCTATTTTATATTGCTTATAATTATAATTATGACAATCGAACTACTTTTAATCTTTTTTATTTAATTTTATTTTATATTTCTTTCATGAGTTTTGAGTGGTTCAATCTGATTTGAAAATATATTCCTGTTATTAAAATTTAAAAGATTATTTACGTTTTCAAGTAATTTAAAACATTTTAAATATTACATTTAATATTTTCACATTAAGAAAATTCCTGATTAATATATATATATATATATATATATATATATATATATATATATATATTATAGAAACTAATGTATATTTAGGTTTTATCTGAATATTAATTATTAATGTAATGCTTAATATATTTGTTGTTCAAAGAACGTTTATGAAATGCTGATGTTATTTTTACAATAATTTTTAATTTATTGATAATGTGAAAATGTTATATTGACACTAATTTAAAATAAAATTATCGATACGTAGATAATTTTTTTCTTTGTGTGCATCATCGTGCCGTTTTTGAAGTCAAATACCATATTGGCATCTTCAAATAATCCTATTTAAATAGCAACATAATTATTAAAAACATTTATAATTTAAAAATTAAGATTAATCATATATAATTTAAAAAAACAATTTCACCTGAATTTCTTATTTTAACAGGTAATATGATGAACTGGGAGTGTTTTTGTTCAAAGCTTTATTTCAAGAATAAAATAATATTTTTTTAATAATTTCAAAAGATAAACATTTCTAGAACGAAGAAAACTTTCGAATTCTAAAAAATATCACTCTAATTATATTCTTAATTATTTGTTTATATTAGCATAAAATATATTCATACAATAATGTTCAAGTTTTTAATTTATGTTTTTCTAAAGCACGTAGTGAGATAAATAAATTACAAATTATATTACAAAATTTGATTATAATATCTGGATAATTTCTGACATCATTATTGATTATGTGTTTTAAAAATAATAAGTTACAAAATTGGTAAGAAAGATAAATTATAAATTATATCATAAAACTTGATTATATGATGTATTTAAACAATTTCTTCTGTTATAATAATTGATTGTGTTCCATAAATATCACAATAATTATCACACAAAGTTTGTTCTATGTTCATAAAAACATTGGTTTTTGTGCAACGGAGGTTGTAAATGGTGGTAAAATCTCATTGATAAAGATAAATAATTTTGTCACCTGTTACGAATATTAAAAGCACGCACTTTTTTTAAAATTATTGACCCAATGAATCAAAATAATATACATTAAGCTAAATTTCAAAGACACATTAATGATTTGAATCCTTTGCATTTTCTCATTAATTATTTAAAAATTCTTTAAATACATTTTATGAATGTTAACTCTACTTTAAGTATTTTCTTATTTTCCTACGAAGAATTAAACTAATGGTTGCAATTTTGGGATGTGCAATTATAGATATTATTCATAGTATCAACATTTTTTTTTCATTCACTTGTAATTTAAAATATATTTATGCCTCATGTATTAACTAATTCTGTTGTTAGATTAAATAAGAGTAGTTTTGAAGATGATGGGATGAATTAGTGCATGATCATATTGCATTGTTCAGACCAAGAAATCAAGAAAACAGAAAAGCAATATAAAAGAAAAAAGAGAGGGCAACGGTTGCGAGTGAGGTGAAGTGAAAAAGTTCAGTGGGGTGCGTGTGGATGGGTGGCGATCCAGGCGCAACCACCTCCACGGCATACTCGCAGGCCAAGATTTCAGTGTGGTGGGACATTCACAACTGTTGCGTTCCTAACGGCCAAGACGCTCACTCCGTCGCGCAGAACATAACCTCCGCTCTCGTCAACTCCAACTACCGCGGCGCCGTCTCCATCTCTGCCTACGGCGACACCAACCGCATTCCGCCGCCCATCCAGCACGCCCTCTCCAGCACCGGCGTCGCTCTCAACCACATCCCCGCCGGTAATCACACTCAAACTCGGACTTGTGAACACACGCGCACACATACTCATTCACGTGACTCTTTTCGCTTGACCGTTTGATTCTCTCTATCAGGTGTGAAAGATGCGAGCGACAGGAAGATCCTAGTGGACATGCTGCTATGGGCAATAGACAATCCCGCCCCCGCTAACTACTTGCTCATATCCGGCGACAGAGACTTCTCCAACGCGCTTCACCAACTCAGCATGCGAAGGTACAACATTCTCCTCGCGCATCCGCCGCAAATTTCTCCCTCCCTCTTCGCCGCCGCCAAAGTCGTTTGGCTTTGGACAACCCTCTCCGCCGGCGGTGGCCCTCTCCACGTTGCCGATTCCGACTCTGCCTCCGCCGTTAAACCCACCCCTCTCCCTGAACCACCTATTCATTTCAAATCCGAAACTAAATACTTAAGAAAAAGTACTACGAAATCCCCAATTCCACCTCTTCAAATACCTGACGAGAGTAAGAGTACCAACAATGATGTCCCTAATACGGAACCGCCCCAACCACCGAGAAAGTTCGTTATCGGAGCTCCTCATGAATTCTTTGCTAGCAAATGTAACCAGCCCGTAATCCCCATCCCAATGCCAACTCTTTGTAAGTTGAATGATGAAACTTCGATTCCTCAAGATTCACGCCAACATTCTTCGAGGCAAAAGTTAATTGAAATTCCTCATGTTCTGAATGTTGCTACTCATACGTGGGATGGTTCTAGACTAAGCATTAGCCATCCTGAGTTCAATGTGGAGAGGCTTATCGATGTTATTATGAGAACTCTAAACTTTCTCAAGGTTGAAAAGGTTGTGTCCACCGAGGCAAATATAACCGATTGCATTCGTTATGGGGATCCCGTATATCAAACAATTGATGTTAGGAAGGCCTTGGATTTTGCCATTGACCAAGGTAGGATAGAGAAACGATTCTTTGGGGCGTTGCATTTGTATATTGGGAGAAATGAGACGCTCTGGAAGTGTGTGAACCATGCAGGGGGTCATCCTAGTGATTACCCACAAGAAACGTGGGACAGAGTTAAGCAATTCCTTACTTCATCAAGAGGGAGATCGTTGCTTTTGGTTTCGCGTTGCAGGTATGTTTTGGATGTTCTTAAGGGTTAGTTTACTTTAAAATGTTGCATGTGTGTTCTGTTCTCAATCTATTTCTTGGTTTTGAAAATTTGTGGAGGAAAATATAGATGACAAAAGAAAACTAAGTTACTGAGAGTCAAACCAGAAAATGTTTTCTCAAACCAAACGGCCTGGCTTCTTAAAGCTTCATTACTGATATATTGACCTTTACTTTTTAAATAGATTTGAAGCCTGTTTGATTCTAAAGAGATCGTGCCTTGAAGAGGTTGTATTAGGGGACGCGCTTAAAATTCTAGAGATGATGATCACAGTCAAGAAATGGATTATACATCATCATAGTGGGTGGCAGCCGATTACCATTAGGCTTAAGGAGAGTAAAGGTGATGCAGATATTGATTCTGATGATAATCTAGATCCAATGTGATACCAAATGGTGTTTTTTTTTTACAGTCACAACACAACATAAAAAAGATATAGTGGCTCGGTTGACGTGGTTGAATCATGAACGGTGAGAAGTTGTATACTTTTTGTGCATTACTGTATGCTTCACCAATCTGATATTTTTTGGAGTGAATGCTTGTTTGCATTTAGTCAGTGGGGGGAAAGTGGCAGCCTGTCTTTCGACAAGATCAAAATTAGTTGTTTTTTGGGAAAAACCCGTAGACGCAGAGACAACTTAGACACTCTTACTAATTCTAAGTATGCAATCAGTTGGATCGAATTATACGTTTTTTTCTTTGAGACAGACTTGAGTTTGTCTGCGATTTGTGTAGAATTGATATTGAAAGAATCGAGGACGAAGAAATTGATTTCGATTTGGAAATGATATTTTTTTAAAAATTGAATATTGTTTGGAGGATTGTGTGTTTGGATAAATATTTGCAAGCTTGATATTGTTGGATGACTTTTATTTTCCGATACTGATTGAAAATATTCTGTGTTTTGTTAAATAATATCATTTACTCAATGTTGATGAAAACAATGTGGTCTTACATGTTTGCTTGAGATTCTAATTATGACTGAGAAAATGGGCTTTGTGGTTTTTATCAGCAAAACTTCACCCTTTGGTCAAAAGGAGTTTACGTCTCTTCCAATGAAAAGAATTCCAAAAACACAAGTATACTTTAACATTGGTGTGTACTACAAGATAGGAGTTGAATAAATAACCAAGGATATGAAAATAATTTCATTTTTCATTTTGTGGTATGAATAAGTATGTAGTTTAGTCCTCGTCAAATATTGCTTACATTGCTTTGTGATTTTGAAACTTTGTGTATAATCCTTGATTGAGACGAAGATGTTAGAGACTTGAAAGCTTTAGGAATTAATTTGTATTAACAAAAAATATAATACATTCATTTAGTGTTATACTATATACCCTTTGATTCACTTGCAATTATCTACCACATGTAAAAAAAAAAAAAAGACAAATTTTACTCTCATTAAGGCATAGTTGTTAAATGTCAAATAATCAATATACGGATAATATGTCAGATCACTATGTTTAATAATCAGTGTGAGTATGATGATATAGTTTAACACAACCGGTTTTCACCATAAGATTATGTTCTGGTTAAAGTTGTCGGGGCAAAAAAAATTCATTGAGTGATTCCCATTAAACATTAACCTCAAATGCCTTTGTATTCCCTATAAAGCAAATAACGGGGTGCTTAGTGCCCACTGCCCAAAATGTAAAAGAAAAATAATTAAATGAAATAATAATTAATGTAAATTTTAAATTTATTCGATGAAAAAACAAGACCGCAATGTGTAATAATCATATATCATATAAGCTTGTAGATATAACTGTGATATTGTAAAGGTTGAAAAAACAAATAGAAAGTATTCATTAAAAATGTATTTATTATATAAAAACCACCAAAATTATTTAATACCTATAGGAGTAATTGAAAATGTTGATCAGTGCATCACTTAATCCTTAATTAGCTCCATTGCAAAAATTGGTATCAAACTCGAGTAATATAAACATTGTCCTTAAAATTTTTGTTATGCTTTGAGTTGTGATCGTAAACTTGTAAATTTATATACATTAAACTGGTCCTACGAGATTGTCAACAGATAAAATGGTATAAACTTGATCAACGTCAAGTTGCATGAGATCCTTTCAAAGAATCAGCTTGTATTGAAATGAATATGGAATTCAGTTTACAATCTATTAACTTTATTGGTTTCATATCACTTACCTTTCTATATATGGTATACAATATTCTTCACAAATTACAACAAATAGGTCATTACTGGCTTGGTCGAGGAGAAATCAAGGTAGAAATGGATTATGTGAGGGGTATTCCTCCTTTTGCTTTTTGTAAGCCCTGCGACACGTCAGCAGAAAAGATATCATTATGTGAATAAACACCTCCTCAGTTTCTTTGTTAAACATTCGAAAATGAAGAACCAGCCACAAGATTGGCTGTTAGCCACCTTGAACAACAGTTCCCAGAATGATCAAAACAAATGGGACTTTAATCATTGCACGATTTTTTCTTCCTCCATGAGCCCTCGGAAATCCACTTCTCACAACATGTGAATATTCAACTGAACCTGAAAAATGTCCTCTCCCACCTGTGTGTAACTAAATTTATTCAGAACTCAAAAGGGTGGCAAGATAAATAAAAAAACAAATGCAGTTCCTTTTTTGTTAAAGCCTTATACGCAGTAGGACAATATCAAGGAATTTTCGAAGGAAGTTAGCTAAGAGCGCAGGGGTTCTGGACAATTACCAGATTGCAGGCATGTGTAAGCTTCTGAAATCTGCAGAAACCATAAAGAGTTGAGTTGGCCCTTCTATTTAAGAAGGGGGAAATATAACAATGCCAAAAAGAAGTGGTATCCCCACTTCAAGAAAACTAACTGTTCAACTTAGAACAAAATAAAATCAACGGCAGATATCGGGGTTCATTCACACACAATTGGCCATCTGTAGACAATATAGCTCCACAAAATCAGAAAATACATATTAGTCTACACTTTACAGTGAGCAAGCTTTGCAGAAAAACACACTGAAATACTAGGTTTGTGACAAATGTTTTACTGTCATGGTCAAAGACCAAGTAAAGTCACCAACAATCACAATTCATCACTCGAATTATAAAAATGCTACTGCCATCTGAATTCGTGCGATGATTTAAGATAGGAAGTAAAAAAATGAAAAAAAGATGAACAGCTCACCAGTTTAAACTTAGACTCAGCAAGAGGCTTTTCATGTGATGGAAATCGGTCTGGGTGAGATTCCCAGACCTTCTTCTTGTAAGCTGATTTTACCTAGAAAAAACAAAAAGAAGCAATCAGAATAGGCACAAACAGAAAATGGCAAAGTACTTTACGATAAAAAATTGATTAATATTTCAAATATTATTGTTAAGTCACCAACATAATGAAGACCAACATCGAATTAGGGCAACGAAGGCAAGAGGTGATAAAAAATAGGTTAGGTGGATTTTGATGTGGGCAATCGCGATGGAAAGAATAAAAAACCCTAGAAATTGGGAATGAGGAAATGACAAAACCTGGGACGGAGTTGGACGCGAATTGGGAGGGAAACCGAGCAAGACTCTAGCTTCATGAGCATCCATGTGTGAAGAAGAGTGAGTGACAGAAGAACATTTAGCATCAAGCTTTGAATTTGATCGCAGAGTGCAGAAGCAAACGGGGTAATTTCAAGAACATCCCATTATAAACATTTTGGTACCTCCCCAAACCGGACGGAGACGATGCATGATAACCATATTAAAAAAACATTATACCTTAATTGATTAATATAATAATTGTAAAGATATTTTATAAAAATAAAAATAATTTAAAATTATTATTATATTATTGTTAAATAATATTTGTCAAAGAAAAAAAAATAGTTTTCAGCTTCCATAATGAATCAATTTTTAAGATAATATATTTAAAATAGAAAATTAATTAAATAAAATATTTGTAAATTTATTTATTAATTAGATTTATTTATTATTGATACATAAAGTTCAATAATAAAATATAAATTTATATGATTTAATATAATTGTTTTCTCATTTTGCTTAATTATTTTTTTATTTTTGTGTTTATTTATTTATTATTATTATTTTTATTTAAAAATAATACATTAAAATTTAATAAAATGAGTCTTTATTATTTTTAAAAAATAAAAAATTTAAATTATTTAAAAATACTATTTAATATATTATAAATTGTTATGTTATAACTATTAAAAAGATTAAATATTGATTTAAAATAATTTCTTAATAAATATCTTCTAAAAATATTTAATATGACTACTTTTCATACAAATATCATCCGTCTTAAGGTAGATCTACGTTTTCGACAGAGTTATGATAGAAAGTGTGATAATGAAAGGTGGTTCCTACGAACAGGAAACATGATATAAACAATGCATTAAATAAAGCACCTCGTTATCCATTTATTGCCCAAGTTGGGATCTCTATTTTCTTATAGGTCCCAAATCTAGCAATTAATTGTACCAAATATCCAGCAATCGATGTCATGTTTAGCTACACCACATGTCATTTTGAAAAGTACATGCGTTATTAGTAGTATTTTTATATTTTATGAGCGCAACATGGAAGATTAACCAACTATATATCAATAATTTTTATTTTATTTTATTTTTCCTTTCAAACTTCAGACTCTACCTTGCAAGAAAAGGAATTAAGATTCAATAATGCTGAGTCCTTCTTCAAGATTCCAACGACTCGATGCCTCCAGCCACAATTGGGTCACTTTCAACTGCTATTATTATGTGCATCAAGAGGGAGATCTGGAAGGCAAAATTAAGCACAGCACTGATGTTGAAAACTCAAGACTGCAAAATTAAATTTGATACATTCAATTCTCAATAATAAATTATATTGAAACTTGTTTATTATAATTAAGAAAGATTCAAATTTGACCATTTGAATTTGAACGGAAAGTAATTCAAATTTTATGGATTTTACTTTCTTTGAAATTTTAAATTTCCTATCCTGCTAAAGCTAACTCTAGTTTTCTTGTTTTACTTTCCAAGCGGATATTTTCTTTTAATGCTATTATTTACTGTGTTGAATCCTACAGAATTTATTGAATTTTGTTTTATGCATATCGCGTGATATTCAATAATTAAAAATTTGATGTTAGGAAGATGCTGTCATAGGACCTGAGGCATATTTGACCATTGCTATTCGTAGAGATATATGAAAAATGAATCTAACAATTTGTTCTTAATTTGTATGTTTTTTATGCCAATTTTAATATTTAGCCTACGAAGCTGGTTTAAGGAGAGAAATTGACTTCATTTATTTATCATTCTTAAGTCGTCATGTTTTACTGCTACACGAGTTTTAACGGTTGAAGTTTGAATAATGAACGCTGACCCATAATAAAACTGTTTTGTCCCTCCAATCTTTTATGTTATTTATTCAAAGATAATCTTATTATTCAGAGTCCTGATATTTTAAAAAAATTAAAAAATTTCAATATACAATTTTATTTTATTAATATTATATTAAATTAATTAAAAATCATTATTTTATTAATAAATAAAGTTATTGAAGGATATTAATCCATCATTGTTAATATTTGATTATAAAGAAACTTCTATATTACAAACGACCCAACAATAACTATTTTTATTAATTTTATAATAATAATAATAATACTTTATGTCACTATAAGTATAAGAAAAAAATAAATAAAAGTAGTGATAAATTTGAAAAGAATTATCATTAGGGAATATTATTTAAAATAGTAATATGGTTGATGTAGGTAAACCAATGGGGTAAAACTGAATCAGGTGAGTAGAGGTAGAGATAATATGACAATTTAAATCATAATGGTAGTGAATTTGAATCATAGTGGTGCACGAATGTATTAAGGGTTATTGTCTATTTTTGAAAATAGAGTACATCAAAATCTATAAGTGACAATAAAAATTTGAGATAGGAATTGTGAAATGTGAGGTCTGGTTTGTAGTGTTTAGGACGACGAGTGACTAATCAAACGCTTTCCAGGACATGAGGGTTGATCAAGTCAATTAGATTAAAGGGCATCAATCGCTTCGTTGAAGACGAGCATATACATGTGCAAGTTATACGAAAAGACAAAATATCGATAAAATTAAGAATCGAAGACTTAAAGAGTGAAGATCATCGACACGAGATAAAATCAAGAGAAAGTTATACGGAAATATCTTCCAATGATACATCGAAAGACTGATGAAGGTGGTTAAGAAACAAGTTTACGTGAAATATGCCATTTAAAAGTAAACATGTATTAACAAGGTGAAACAATTACAAGAAGATAAATGTTTAAAGATTCTAATTTGTAATTTTTATTTTTTATTTTCATTTGCTTTAGCGATTATATATATATATATATATATATATATATATATATATATATATATATATATATAAATAGTTGGGTGACTGTTAAATTATACAACTTATATTATAAAAAATGCTACAAACTAAGAATAAATGTTTTTAGTAGATTTATTATTTTTATGCTATTTAATTTTCCGTATAATTATTTTTTAATAATTTATTTTTATAAGTTGTTTCAAATGTTTCATATTATATTAAATATAAAGATTGAATAGAAACATAACTTAATTAAAATCTACTGTGTATTAATCTTTGAACGAGAATAAATAATTCACGTAATATTTAAATAATTTAGTGCAATTTAGTGCGTGTATTAATTATTCCAACCGTTATTTTACCCTATAAACAAAATAATAGATAAATTTGTGCAAATAACACCATAGCTTTTCTTTATTGAATTTTAATACATTATTCACTAATTTTTTACTGTTCTGAATTAAATTTTGCAATTCAAATGTTTTTATTTTAATTACAAATATTAACAAAAATATAAATTATATTACTATATGTTATATGAAACAATTAGCAATAAATATATATATATATATATATATATATTAATTATAATAAAATATAAATTTAATTGTACGAGTTAGTTTCAAATGTATGTAAATTGAATTTTTGGGTATTGTAAATATACTTTTTTTGTGTGGGGATTTTAGTTGTGTTATTGTTATGTCACTATACATTCCACATTGATGGGAAATAAAAATCATAAAATTGCAAACAACAAACTTAATAATCAGCATAATTGAAATTTGGGAAACTATATAACATATATTAAATATTTGTTAGATTGAATTAACACAATTAATATGTGGAGAAAGAAAATCCCAAAAATGTAATACTTAGAGGATCAAAAGCAGAATTAAAACAAAAGCTATTCATGCAAACTTTTTTCTTAGGTTAAGATCTAAACAAATAAATTTAATTAGTGACCTTTGAATAAAAAAAAAGAAAATAGAGGAGTCAAAGCAATAAAGAACCATAAAATAACAATAAATTATTAAGTATTAAATTAACATTAAAAAGTTATAAATTCAAATATTAATATATGTTAAAGAAACGAGTTTTTTTTTTTTTAATCAATTGACTAAGTTATGACGTTTTAAAGTTAAGTATTTTGTATTAATAATAATAGTAATAATAAAACATAATAAGAAGCAAAATATCCACAATCCAACAACATTACTATAAATTAGATTTTGGTTTCTGATTAGTAACAAGAAGTCGTCGAACATCAACGGCTCACCGAAAACCTCTGAATGGTTTTCCGAGAGAATAGCAGGAGCTGAGGTTGAAGAATGGTCTCCTTCAACACTATTTTTCAGGCGCCAGAAAAGCAGTTATTAAAATAGAAAGACGGCTTCATTCGTTGCAAAATCTTGGGCCAATAGACTCAGAAGGGAACGACAAGCGCGGATGGCCAAGTATAGAGTTTGTTGGATTGAACGGTGGAGAAGGGTTGAAGAAGCAGTATATAAACCCACTCGAGCTCATCATTCTACATCAGCATCTGAACAATAACCTCCCCTACAACCATTCAAAGGGGAGGAGCAATAAGCCTTACAGTCTTCTTTTCCACCACTACCACTACCACCGGTGAAAAGAAGATCCAAGGCACCAAAAAAAAAATGTCTGGCAAAATAATTGTCTCAGCTGTTTCTCTCATCCTCGTGGTCGGTGTTGCCATCGGTGTTGTAGTGGCCGTTAACAAAAAGGGTGATGATCCCACCATACAATCTCATCAAAAATCCGTCGGCGTTATCTGTAAAAACACCGATGACCAAAAACTCTGCCATGACACTCTCAGCTCCGTCAAGGGTGCTGACGCCGCTGACCCCAAGGCTTACATCTCCACGGCAGTGAAAGCCACCATGGACAGCGTGATCAAAGCGTTCAATATGAGTGATCGGCTCACAACCGAGCACGGAGACAAAGATAGTGGCATTAAGATGGCCCTCGACGATTGCAAGGACTTGCTGCAATCCGCCATGCAGAGTCTTCAGTTCAGCATTGACATTCTGCAAAATAACAACGTCCAAGCCGTGCAAAACCAAGAAGCTGATTTCAGGAACTGGCTCAGTGCGGTTATCTCGTACCAGCAGGCATGCATGGAAGGTTTCGACGATGGCAAAGACGGTGAGAAGAGTATCAAGGAGCAGTTGCAAACACAGACTTTGGACCATGTGCAGAAAATCACCGGC